ATGAACGATGTCAGAGATGTGATGATTAAATACTCCAACTGTGCCGATCCTACGGAAAGTGCAGCCCGTAAAGAACGTTTCCGTTTAGCTGAAGAGCAGGGAGAAGTAGAGGAAACGGCTACGCAGATGATCCTCGCAGACCTTGCTAACCAAGAGCTAGACCCAGTGGAAGAAGTTGCTATACAGAGCCCTCGCATCCCAGCTTTACAACGCCTTGGACCCATTATGGACCCTTCACCTACTACAGAAGCTGTGTTTGATGCACCAGCTGTTAAACGGAAACCGGGTAGGCCTCCGGGTCCTAGAAGGGTTCATGGCAGCCCCAAATTACTTCAAGGCTCCTGCTCCAAAAAGAGAAAGACCCTACAAGTTAAACCCCCTCTAGCAAGGAGAAAACTGAATACGTCTCGGGGTACTCGTACAAACTCTAAGAGCAGCGACAAGGAAGATTCTCAGATGTCAGGGACTAGAAACTCTGATAATCAGCCCCTCTGTAACCTAATCCCGGCTATTAAAAGGAAGAAGACGGATTTTCACACTCCGTCAACTCCAGGTCCTTAAAAGTAGTAAGTTGGAACGTCCGAGGTTTGGGGAACTCCTCGACGGTCCAACACCTCCGGGATATCAAGCGGGATATTGACCCGGATATTCTCTTCCTCTCTGAAACAAAAAACCCCAATGAGTTTGTCATGAAGAAACTTGAGCAACTAGGCTTTGATTACTTTGAGATTGTCTCCCCAGTGGGACATGGAGCTGGAGGATTAGCTCTACTTTGGAAGGAAAGAGTTAAAATAGAGATCCTGGATGCTAATCCTAACTTGATAGACACGTTAGTGGAATTTGAGGGCAAAAGCTTTTTCTCTTCTTTTGTGTACGCAGATACGAATTATGTTAAAAGAAGGGAATTTTGGAATCATTTAATTTCGCTATCTGATGCCCGAGATGCCCCGTGGTTTATAACAGGGGATTTTAACGATATCTTAAATGAGGATGAGAAGGAAGGAGGTATCCACAGGCCTGAAAGCTCGTATACCGACCTCAGAACTTTTTATTCAGAAGGTGATTTGTATGACCTGCAATTTTCGGGGGATCCCCTATCTTGGAGAGGTCAAAGAGGGGATTATCTTGTGCGTTGCCGTCTTGATCGAGCAGCAGCTAACTCCAGTTGGGCAGATCGCTTTCCTACAGCCAGGAGTGTCTACCTCACTTATGAAGGTAGCGACCACAAACCCATTGCATCCATCTTTGAACCAGGGAAAAAACGTAGGAAGGGTGTTTTCCGGTTTGATAGGAGATTGAGAGATAACCCTGAGGTTCAGGAGTTAATAAAGTCAACATGGAAGGATGCTCACAACAAATCAGTGGCTCAACGCATTGCTTTGACTCGTGGCGCTATATCTTTTTGGAGTAAAGTTAAGCAACGTAATAGCAGACTTGCTATTGATAAATTGAAGGAGGACCTGGAAGTTGCTCAGTCTGATTTGGCAAATGATACAGTACTGATAGAGAAAATTTCTTCGGAATTGAGCGAAGCTTACAAGAAAGAGGAAGAGTATTGGAAGCAGAGAAGTCGATTGCTTTGGCTGCGGTTGGGAGATAGAAACTCTGGGTTCTTTCATGCTACTACTAAGAACCGTAAACGGATCAATGCTTTCTCCGTGCTTGAGGATTCTTCAGGGGCGCTGGTGTATACTGAAGATAAAATCAGCAGAGCAGTGGTGCAATATTTTCAGAACATCTTTACTAGTAAGCTCGGGGATAGCAGAGAAATTGTGGAGGAAGCTCTTGAGCCAATCATCACTGATGCAGATAACGAACGTCTAATAAGCCCTCCTACAGCTTTAGAGGTTAAAGAAGCTGTCTTCTCGATCCATGCTGATAAAGCTCCCGGCCCCGATGGTTTCTCGGCCAGTTTTTTCCATTCCAATTGGGAGGCTATTGGAAAAGAGATAGTGGAAGAAATTCAAGGTTTCTTTGCAACGGGAGTTTTCCCCGGCCGAATAAATGAGACCCATATCCGCCTTATCCCAAAGATTGTAAATCCGAAAGCAGTATCGGATTATCGGCCGATAGCTCTTTGCAACGTTTATTACAAGATTATCTCTAAGATGCTCTCCAAGAGACTGCAACCGTTGCTCCCGGGTCTCATATCAGAGAATCAATCCGCTTTTGTTGCGGGAAGAGCGATATCGGATAATGTTTTGATTACCCATGAAGTTCTTCATTTTCTAAAGACATCAAAGGCGGAGAAGCGATGTTCTATGGCGGTTAAAACCGATATGAGTAAAGCTTATGATAGACTCGAGTGGGAATTCATCGAACAAGTACTGCTACGGTTGGGGTTCCACCGGCATTGGATATCTTTAATTATGGCTTGCGTAACAACTGTTACCTACGCCTTCCTCATCAACGGCTCGCCTAGAGGAAGAGTTAAACCGAGTAGGGGAATCCGTCAAGGAGACCCGCTATCACCATACATCTTTATATTGTGTAGTGAAGTTCTCTCGGGGTTGTGTAACAAAGCTCAAGCTACTAATCTCTTAAAAGGTATCCGCGTTGCAAGAGCGTCTCCCCGAGTAAATCACCTTCTGTTCGCGGACGACACGATGTTTTTTGTTCGAGCTGATGAGTCCAGCAGTAAGGCACTCGTACACATCTGGCAAAAGTATGAAAGGGCTTCTGGTCAATCGATAAATGTTGATAAGTCCTCTATCACATTTTCAAAAAAGACACCAAGCGCATTAAAGAATCAGGTGGCTGATATCCTACAGATTCATAAAGAGGGAGGAGTGGGAAAGTATCTCGGTCTCCCCGAGCAATTTGGACGTAAAAAGAAAGACATCTTTGCATCTATTATTGATAGGATCAAACAAAAGGCAAAGAACTGGTCTAATAGGCATCTCTCTACTGCTGGGAAACTCACTATGCTTCAGAGTGTACTCTCTCCTATTCCTTCCTATGCTATGAGTTGCTTTATGCTTCCTGTGTCCCTCACGAAAAGGATTCAATCTACGCTTACCCGCTTCTGGTGGGACGGGCCAGACGGAAACAGGAAAATGGCATGGGTTTCGTGGAATAACCTGAAGCAACCGAAAGCTTTGGGTGGCCTGGGATTCAGGGATTTTGAGGCTTATAATGATGCCTTCCTAGCTAAGCTCAGCTGGCGTCTTATTGACAATCCATCTTGCCTCCTGAGTCGAGTTTTATTTGGCAAGTATTGCCATGAAGATAGCTTCCTCAGCGTAAAATCGGGATCTTCTGCTTCCCATGGTTGGCATGGTATTCTCTTAGGTAGGGATTTGGCTCTTAAGCACGCGGGATGGCTCGTGGGGAATGGGTCTTCTATCAGAGTTTGGGATGATCCCTGGCTCAGCTTATCTGAAGCAGAAAGACCGATGGGACCTGCACCCCTTTTGGGAGCTTCCCTGAAAGTTGAAGACCTTCTTTTACCAGGCGCTTTGGAATGGAACTTTGAAGCCATTAAACGCTGGCTACCATCTGAAGAAGAGCGTATCAGATTAATCAAACCTAGTATTACCGGGGCTCCGGACAAACTGGTATGGCTCAAGACGACCTCAGGCGTGTACACAACCAAATCAGGCTACTACGCTGCTCTGGAGGCGAGTGAGGAAGGCTTGGTTGCAAATACAAGCCTAAGTAACTGGAATCGAGAAGTGTGGAGGTTACCAGTGGCGCCAAAAATAAAGCTTTTCCTCTGGAAAATTTTCCAGGGAGCTCTAGCGGTGGGAGAGAGTTTATCAGCAAGACATATAAACGTGGATCAGAGATGCAAGAGGTGCAATGAGATTGAATCTACAAATCATCTTTTTATTCATTGTTCTTTTGCTAAGAAGGTTTGGGAGTTGGCACCTTTTAGCATAAACGTGGATAGTAGAGGATTGGTAGATTTGGCGGAAAATTGGCCTAGATTATGCAGGTTGGTTACGCTCCCTCCGGTGGGTTTGGGTGAGGGTTCTCTCACTCCTTGGATTCTTTGGTCCATTTGGACAGCAAGGAACAATTTGATTTTCAACAACAAAGGTACTTCACCTGAGGAAGCCATCACTAAAGCGGTTAAAATGGCTAGGGAGTGGACTTCGGCTCAGGTCAAAGAAACCCCACGACAGAGATTGAAGCCCCGGCCTATCTCCATACCGACTGGAACTGTAGTTATTTCGGTTGATGCTGCTTGGAGAGGAGATAGTAAAGCAGCAGGTTTGGGCTGGGTGATCCAGACGATAGACGGTAAGCTTCAATATGAAGTCTTCGCAGGAGAGGTGAGATCTCCTTTGAGTGCTGAGGGATTAGCACTCCGAGCAGCGATAATAAAGTGCAAAGAACTGGGTTTCCAGCAAGTATCTTTTGAATCAGATTCAACTCAATTGATTGCGGCGGTTACGTCAAAGTCTCCCTATGTTGAGCTTTATGGTATTACTGCAGACATTCTTTCGTGTGCTGCAAGTTTTAATTTCTGCTCTTTTGTTTGGATTCCTCGTACAAGGAACAGAGACGCTGATACTTTGGCGAAACATGCTCTGTTTTCTGAATCCCCTGTATTGAACTCTTTGGGTTTTTGAGTTATGAAATGAATGGTGTTACAAAAAATATATATGATCCATTTGATTTACATTTGTTTCATTTGATATGTATTTATCATGTTTGATCTGCATGAACCACTTGACCTGCACCGTTTAATCTGTTTTTACCATATGAAACTTTTGATAATTGTAACAACAGGTGTTACGATTTCAACACGGAAGAGATGCGTGTCAACTCGTGAGGAGATAAGCACATGCAGAAGTTTTGTCGGCAGACTCCATCCACCGCCATCGATGTTTGTGGGGATTCATCTCGGATAGTCATGACAAGAGCAGCTTCCCCTCGATCTCCTTCCTCTCTCGTCTTCATTCTTCACCATGCGTCCGACAAGAGCGCATCTGCGTCCTCGACAAACTCTATAAATAAAACACATCATTCAGCAAATATACACATATCATTTTCTCGCCAGAGACAAAGTTCACTTGTAAAATACTAAATAACTAAGTAAAAAATAATGTATCATCGCTTGGTTTGGTTAGTAACTTTGATTATTCTATTGTTCACTGGATCATCAACTACAGCTCTCGCTCGGATACCATACCAATCATCCATGACAAGTAAGTTTCTAGTCATGAACTTTACTCTCAACCCAATTTTTCTTAAATTTTCATGTAATATATATGCCTTCTAGGTTCATAAATTTTCATTTTCAAAAGGGTGGATCTTCCTTGTAAATAATAAAGATCGTCATCTTAACTGCGCTTACCTCTCGTATATCTAATATGAATTTGATATCTCAACAATTTTGAACCAAATTTTCATACATCCAAATTCACTTATTTGTATGGGAAGAACATGGAGAAAGGGTTTGGGATCAAAAGATGATTGGAGATATCAAGATTGACGTAGGAAGCAGTAATTCGAGGCCATCACGTCAAAAAGATCGCCCAAGTCCGCCAGGCGCCAACATGTAGCTAAACGAATATGTATCAGAGTTACGCATTGTTTACCTACGCAGTATAAAAAGTATGACGTTTATGCTATAAGAAAACATGTCCAACGAAAGTTATTTTCTTTTGTATAACAAAATCGAGATTTATTGTAAAACATCTATGTTTTTCATAAGTAAAAGTATATGAACAGAGTAAATTTAGAAAAGGAGAAGAATATTATTTAATCATACTAAAATACTACTATATAATATAACGTCAATCACCGTCTCCGGCCTTTACATGCACGTTAAATTAACAAATTAATTAAATTCTTACAAAGAAAAAACTAAGCTCAGGTCCATTATTCCCTTCAGGACTCAACATATAAAAGGTCTCTGAATCTTTAGACCCAATAACCCTCTCAAAGTAAGCTCTCATATACGCCATTTCACCGTCTGGTCCTTCCAACTCCGAGTTTCCGGGCAAAACTCCAGCTCCCATAGACACCGGACGTAACAACTCCATCACGTTCAAATCTTCATCAGTAGCGTCACGTCTCACACCGTAACCAGTTTTGTCTCCTTTACAAAACATTGTCCATAACGGTTCCTCCAAAATATTCGTGTGTTTTTCTGTTTTGTTGTTATTATTGTTAGGTTGTTTCTCGGTCTCTAGAGCTATTCTAACCATCCCCATGCTAAGTTCTTTTTGAAACGTTGTCGTTTGCATGGCGAGCTCCACGACTAAAGAAGGTAAACATTTAGGGGTTTCTTGTATGGAGAGACTTACTCGGCCTTTACGGTATCCGAACAACGTGCCGGTGACTCTTGACGTGTTGTGATGTGGTTCTGCTACGCCTAAACCGGGATTGATAACCGGGATTTTGCATGCTATGGATGGTGTTGTGAAGATAGGGAAAGAGCGGAACACGGTGCGTAGGACTTTGAAAACGCTTGATTTGTTTTTCTTCTTTTTTGAAGATGGTGGCTCGATGAGATTATTATGACGTGTTGGCGTGGTTGCGGTGGCTGGAGAAGATGATGGAGATGACGGGGGGATTGAGGAGATGGAGGAGGAGAAAGAGCTTGAAGCCATTGGCTTTGATGATTCTTTCATTAGACCGACGATCGTACGGTGAAGAAAGAAGGAGGTAAAGACTTCTTCTTCCTTCCACGACCGACGACTAATTAATTTACAAACGTTCTTGTAGATATGTTAAGTTTGTTTTTGTTATTTTATTAGCTCTCTTTCTCCTCTTTTTGAATTGATTCTTTTTCTAGTATCACATCCTTATCCATGAATTTTGTATTATCTTTTCTAAATTTTGTTTTCTTCTTTTTTAAGAGAGAGGTAATGGGGGTTTGAATGGTGATTTCAAAGTTAAAATGTAGATATATATTAGAAAAAACAGAAAACTATTTGTTTTTGTCAAATTTTCAATTTCTAAAGCTTTGGTAATAGGTTTAAATATAGTAACTAATAAATAACTAACATTGTATAGTTATGAATTTATTTCATCAGGATCCGTGGCGCAATGGTAGCGCGTCTGACTCCAGATCAGAAGGTTGCGTGTTCGATTCACGTCGGGTTCAAAACTCCCGAAAATTTGATCCTTATTTTTTCTCTATTTACAAAATTTGCTCCCATTGTTCTTTTCTTTTCTGAAAAAGCCCTCAAATTGTTTCCTGCATCTGTAGAAAACGTTATCTTGGGGGGAATAAATCATCCTATCTCATTCTGAAAGAGAGAGTCTTTAATTTACCCATATTTACCTGCAAAGTTTACAAGTATCATAAAATCTCCAATTGTATGCGAAAAACCATCATTGAAACAAACATTGCTAATTCTGCAACAGAGAATGAAAATGATCCCAAAAACATAAGCTTGATGTCTTTCTCTCTGGATTAAAAAATAGTGCTCCAAGGAACCAAACTAAGACTCTACTATAATGTGATCACAGTTTTAACATCAGTGATCAGTGATTGTTGTAATGTCTCCATGTTGGCAAGCTATCAATAATTTAACCATATGTCTCAAATAGAAAAATTACGAAAACTATTAAAGTTTATAGTTCATCTCATATAGCTAGATCTGACAAACTCAACGAAATCAAACTATATATGTGGTCAAATAGCATACTATTGGATCTACATTAAGAATATTTCTTGCTATCGTAATATCTTTGTTTGTATTGGTGATTAGCCAAATAAATGTGAAGAGTTAAAAATAATTAATAGACCTTTGAGTATTATTATCGGGGGGATTTTAAAGATGCTTAGAACAAAAAGTAAGGGAAGAGATCACATAAAAAAAATCCGGTGCTTCTATTGCCAAAATAAATGTCCGATTTTCATGGATGTTTGGGCTGTTACGCAGACTCCACGATACGTGACGGGTCTGCGATAAGTTACATTTTAATATATTTTTTTAATCAAAAAAAAAAAATTTAAGCGTCTCTTTTTTCGTTTAGCGATAATCCTGCTTTTACAAATCAAATGCGTTGGTTGTTATTAGCATGACTTTATTGTGTTAGGCTTGTCAAGAGATAGTCATGTACACGTCACACTCTTCAATGTTTCACTTCTATTTTATTAAACAAAAATGAAATAGGTACGAGTCTTAAGTTCTAAGAATATGTTCATTCAAAAACTTTAAGATTTCTGGTCGTTAAAAGATGACACAAAAACATTTGCTCAAGACGGTATACAGTCCTGAACATAAAAACAGTGAGGTTGTGAAAGATCAGAGAGTCACGCATCCAAACCTAGATTATAGTTTAAATCGTATAGAAGAACTGAGTGCTTAAGTCATTTTATGTATAGTAGAAATTCAGATCATAATCTTTGTAGTATATCCCTCGACCACTTTAATTATTGTAAAGAATAAAGATCACAATTTCTCATCAAAACATTATGATATATCCTTAATTCTAACCGTGCAAATAATAATGGTGCATCTGGTTTGGAGCATTTTTTTTTTGATCAAACAAACATTGCATTAGACTAAAGAGTTTTACCCACCCCTCAGGGGGTTGGTTACATCTAATGTGAGAACTAATTTTAGCCACATGGTCAACCTCATCATTGTAGTTGCGAGAGATAAAACTAAAGGATAAAACATCAAAGAAATACATAAAGTGATAGATATCAAACATGATACCAAACAGTTTAGATTGATTCTCTTCCTTCTTCAACATGTTGATCAGGGACAACGAATCAGATAGAACCGCTCGGGATTGGACGTTTGAATAGACAGCAAGATGGATAGCAATAGCCTTGGCCATTAGTGCTGAAGATACATGACTGTGAGTTTCCATGATATGACGCCTTTCCGTTGCATAATGTATTGATTTTATTACTTCAACAATGCATGGCGATCAGTAGAAGATCGTTTGTATCCCATTCACATTACTTTTGTTAATTTAATTATTTCAAAAATACCGAGCATATTTTGCTTTGGTATTATCATCATCGTAAATTTAAAATTAATAAACTGATTTCCCCAGTATAGTATCTTGATACTCCGGCTCTAGTCACTGACAAGTCATTATTTTAATTTGCAGAGGATAATTAATCGACGGTGATGTGTGACTGCGTCAGTACCATTATCAGCTAATCTAATTCACATGGAATCTTTTTTGAGAATCAAACTGCCACGTCAACAATCTCTCAAAATCTTTGATTCCATGTACTAATCTTTTAGTACTTAACAGTCTTATAAAGACCGTGATTGGTCCTAATCTTTCTCTAACAGCTCCGTACAGAACAATGTCTTTACAAAGGCAACTTCTCAAGAGAGTCTTCGATAGAGCTTCAACTTCCCCTGCGATCACCTTCCTCCGCTCTGATTTCTCCACCTCTTCTCCGCCGCAGCTTCCGCCGTTCGAGTACCAGCCGCGGCCGTATAATGGTCCTTCCGCCGACGAAGTTTTCAAGAAACGGAAGAAGTTTCTCGGACCTTCTCTTTTCCATTTCTACCAAAAGCCTGTACGTTCTTCTCGTGATTTTAACTGCACCAAATTAATCGAATAGTTGTATTGAAAGGATTAAGATTTTTTGCATTCTTATGATCAAATGTTAGGGTTCTGCTTGATGTATTTGTATAAAACCAACCAAAAGAAGTAGTGGCTAAAACTCTTAAAACATATATACTGAAGATTTAAAAATTTAATCACGTTGGGGGAGATCTGCTTGAATTCGAGATTCATATATATATATCTGTTTTTGATCAACTTGTACTCTGCCCTAACCATTGGAAAAAAGTATAAGTAAAGAAAAAAACTTTAAACATATCTAGATTAGATTTCTAGTTCTCTCCCAGACACGCTTCCTGAGGAAAGTCTTTAGCTAACGGTCCAAAGGGACTTTCGCCCCACGGCCCAACGGTCTCTCCCTTCTGATTGGTGCAGAAGCACTGCTTCTCCTCTGCCAATTCAAAAAATTCCCCTCTTTAGAAGTATCCTCTGGTCCATTAAAGGGTCTGACGGTCAAACACCGGGTTCAACCTGCGACTCCGGTCGACAGGTCCGCCACCAGTCAGCCTACTTGCTCTTCTCCGACGTCGACTCCCCTAAAGGCCCGCGACCAATGAATCCTTCAGCTTCTCAGACTCTCATGGCCACTTGCTCTATCTAAGGAAGGTTCACAGAGGTCTCTCTGTAGAGCTCTCCCATACCAATCTTTCTACTCTTTACTGGGGAATCCTGGTAAAAAGTAGGCATGTTGTTTCTTCGCCGATATCCTGCTCAACACAATCCTCCAACTAGCTCTGCGACGATACCCTGCTCCAAACTTCATAAGCTGATAGATTTTGTCTCCTTTAGTAACACAGGGGAATCCCTTTGGTCAAGAGAGTGGTAAACCTTTATTTTTATCCTCGCAGCTATCAATCTGGCGGGGCTGCGCCATTCTTGAAATCTAATCATGGCGCACAGACGTTTATCATCTGCCGAAAAAGGAAAAGGTCTCGAGTTAGGATCTCAACAACCACCTCGCTCTGCTCGGGTTAAAGTCCCCTTACCTGATAACTCGGAGCTACTCCGCAAACACTCCCTTACTCTCATCGGCAGAGTAACTAACAAATCAGTGCAAAAAGTATGGTCTCTGATCCCTTTTTTCACTGAGCACTGGAAAACTGAGTTCAAGCCAACGGGCTCTGATTTAGGCAATGGCTTATTCCAATTTCAATTTGAACGAGAGGCGGATCTCTTAGCCGTGCTGGAGCAACGCCCATACCACTATGCGAGATGGCTGATTATTCTACAACGATGGGAACCTACTGTGTCTCCTAATTTCCCATCCCTAATTCCATTTTGGATTAAGGTCCAAGGGCTCCCGGTTCACCTATGGACGGAACCTACTCTCAAGTGCATTGGAGAAGATATTGGATTGTATGAGAAGGCTGAGATTACCCCACACCAAGCACGAATGAGAGTCCACATCAATGGACTGCTCCCCCTTATTAAAGAATCAGTGGTGGAATACCCGAATGGGGATGAAGTTACTACCACACTGGTTTATGAGCGATTGGACAAACACTGCACCAAATGTCTTCGCCTGGATCACGAACTTAAAGAGTGCCTAGTTGCGAGAGCGGAAGCAAAAGCTCTGCAAGCTGCTCAAGGTGCGACTGATGGCAAACCAACTAATCAAGCGGGACAAAAATCTGGAATAGAGGATTCTCAAAACTCCTTACACACTGATAGGTACCCAAGAGAGAGAGAACATAGAAGCTCTGCAATGTTCAACGCCCCTGCCTCGGACTACCGGAAATCTTATGATGAAAGACCTGCACATGATCTGAGAGATTCGTTACAGCGCCGACTATACAAAGAACAATCACAGTCCTGGCAAGAGAGAAGCTCCTATCGCCGCACAAATCAATCCAAGGAAAGATCCCACGGCAACAGTGACAGATACCAACGCTCTTACCGTGCCCCCTCTAGCAAGCAACATCTCCCAGGGCCCCCGAGCAGAAGCTACTATAGAGAAATCCCGAAAAGCGGAGCTGAGGCAAAAGATACGGGGTCTAGTGCCCCAAAGCTACCACAAGATATGAATGCACCAGTTTTTCGCCCGGAAAAGGAGCAGGAGTTATTACCTCCGGAAGAGATTCAA